AAAGAGACAGTAGTCTCAAGTTATTTTAGTGGGTCCCTTATATGTATAATAGTTTTGACCACTTCCCTTATCCAAATTCAGTAACTGCGAAGCCAAAGTAACACACGTAAGAAACGAACAGCGCGTTGCTGAAATTGCAGTCTGCAAGTTTTATCATGTTAGATATTCTAGAAATAAAAGACTACACACCCATCGTCTTCGCTTTCGCCTTCACTTGATCAGTCCAGTTTCGAGTTACCATGACCGCTGAATCAAAAGACTAAAGACGCATCTATATATTGTCAGCCTCGATCTGAGGTAAAATATTCGATAACACCAGTGAGAAAGGTTGAAACCACGAGCTACTGAACTCTGTGCATTGTCTCATCTTAAGCTTCATCACGTTTGTGCCGGTATTTTGTGAACAATTTGCTTGTTTTTTTCTTTTTTTCCGCCGTTCAGCGGTCTGGCTTATAACTCGAAACTGTGCTATTCTGTGGGATTTCTCTTCACTCGTGATCTATCGCGACGAAAGCTTGAAGAATCTTTGGCCGAGAGAAAAAAAGAAGAGGGGTGAGATGGGACCTTTGCGAATTCGTCACACAAAGCAATCGGGGGCCCCAACGTGTACCAGAAAATTTTTCGCTCACTTGAATTTCACACACACATGCAAAAAAAAAATCTCAACAAAATTTTAGAAAAATATATTTTTTTTTATTGAGTGCAAAAATCGTTCCGTATGCGGGTACAAAATAAATGTGACAACTATAGCGATCGCATGCAAGAAAAATCGAGAAATAAATACTTGATGTATCAAAATGGCAGTCATTTGAAGCGCGTTATGATACAATTATAATATAAATACATACATACATACATACAAGTACTAAAAATGATTTTTATAAACTTAATTTTGTTCTGAATTAGTCATAAAAAATGACCTTTTTCCTCAGAAAAGGATATTTCAACATCTTTTCTTTTGAGATAAATTCTGTTCATGTGGCTTAAAATACAAACCAAATGAACTGGTCGGTTATTTTACAAATTGTTAACTGAAGAAATTCACTTTTAAGCCTTTGAGGCTATTTGCCACACAGTGAAGAAAGGTCGAGTATAATTTATAGTCACACTATCTGTCTCTTACACGAAGTAGTTTTTCCTTAAAACGGACATGTATTGCTTGGATGAAGCGGTCAGCGGACCGTACGAACCGCTGTCCCCATCACTTAGTAGACTCGGCTTCAGATCGAGGTCTGACGTCAAAGGAGCTGAAAGACAATCAATCAGTCAATCAGTCAATCAATCAGTCAATCAATCAATCAATCAATCAATCAATCAATCAAGCAATCAAGCAAGCAAGCAAGCAAGCAAGCAAGCAGGCAAGCAAGCAAGCAAGCAGGTGATTTCATTTGGAGTCACCTATTTTGCAATTCGTCTTTCTTTATTTTTTCAATTCCTCAGAAAGACATAGGAAAAATATAAACAAAACAGAACGGAGAGTTTTACTTTTACAGAATCACAACGACAGAAACAACTTACCACTTTCTAAATGACGCTTTATACTCTTGTTGAGTTCATTTTCTACAGCCTTCATTAACTGCCCGTCTCCCTGCACGAAAATAAACAGTATAACATTACTTTAAAAAAGTTTCGTTTTCGGTTTAATTGAGGACCAATTCATGGAAGTGCGAAATCCGAAAACATATTGTATGGATGTGCATCTAAATTCTCCATAGAAACTTCGAGAGAAATGTAAGGCAGTCAGTAAAGAGAATCTATAATTCGAGTACGAAAATCAGAACGGGTTTGGGCAACAAAGACGTTACAGTTGTCAATGATTGATTGTGACATTTTTCGTGAAATCTGCCTTTTTTTTTTCAAATCTCTCGAACAATCACACAGCAAATAACCGCGTATGGCAAACATTCTTTGACACTACTTCTTTAATATCCCCGTTTCCCGGCATTTGATTGGTCAAATATAAAAGGAGAGTTCAAAACCAACAATG